ACTATTTGACCTCTGCTTCTCCATCCATCTTCTCTTTTTTTCTAATTTCTGACATATCTTCCTAATTAATACTGCCCAAACCTGTCTTGATTGCTCTCTTCTGTTAAAATATTTTTCTAGAATATGTCTGTCTCTGTATTTCACTAACTTAATGTCTTCAAGTGCTTTCTTTAAATGTGTCTTATGAGATAATATTGAGTGTTGCTGGGCTGTGCTGCAGTGTCACCCTATGACAGAGGTAGAGTTAGACATGTGTGGGCAGGGTGAAAAGTTGCCCTTCTCACACTGCCTACTTGCTTTAGCAGCCTTAATAGTGTTGTTGTACATGAGCTCTCTTTTAACCTTGTACACAAACTGTTGGGATTTAAACTATCTACATAGCTGAGAGGGGAATTATCACCAGAACCACTGAGACCAGCACAAAGATGTAATCCACATCCTCTGACATTTAGCACACCTACACACAGAATAACTCACACATGTGTAGTGGGAATGTGAGAGACCCAGTGCAAATTCTGCCTTGTGCAGACACAAACTCTGGGCTCCTGCAGATGTTGACATTCAGGCCGCAGCACACTTTACCTCTGTGCAAGGCTTCCTAGACCAGCCCACTCTGAGAATGGTAGTCACTGTCTTCAAGGAGTGTCCAGCTAACTGTAATTTTTCTCTGAGTGAGATGAGTCCTGCTGTGGCCCTGCCATTCACTGGGAATTGACAGCATGGTCCAGTTGGGGAAACATGCTGGCTGCAAAAGGAGTGTGTGGGCAGAGGCTACAGCTCTTACTGTAGCTCTCACTAAATGCCCACTCAATGAGGGCATTGAGTGAAGAACCAGTGAGAGAGAAGAGAGTAGGGCAGAACAGTGAAGAGCTGTGAAAGTGAAATTACTAAGTCTGAATACAAGAATGGGGACAGGACAGTGCCTGAGGAGAAACCCAAGGGGATGCAGATATGGTCGGTGATGGAAGCTTAGGTCATGGGGATACACAGGGTGTTGGTGAATGGGAAGGACAAGGATGGTCTGCATTTGGCCATGTTACAGTTTCATCAGGACAGGGACGGGAGAAAAAAAAGCCAGAGGTTTGAAAACTGCAAGAGAAAATGAAGGATTTGGGTCTACCCTGGGTGTGTGTGGCAGAAGAAAAGTCACAAGCAAAGAATCCTCCCAGACTAAATTACTTTTTTCAGTAAGAAGTCAGGGTTGTTTCTTAGGCAGCCTTACACAGTGGAGCAGGCAGTCCCATTAGGGCAAACAACAGACATACTCTGAACACTTTCATATTTTATATCTGGTATTGGTGTTTACTGTAGCTGGCATTCCTCACTGCTCCTTGTCAGGCAGGAGGCAGTGACCTGTAAATTAAGAACGTCAAAGCTTGCTGACCACACTATGGTTTCTTTAGCATGTGCAGGTGCTAATGGTTCTCTGCAGGCTCATGGACTCCAGAAACCAGGAGAAAAGTTTGTTTCTGATCTTATTTTCTTCCTAACACACCTGTACCTGCCCCAGTATTTTCCTGCCAGTAGTGGCAGAAAGAGATAGATTTGTGTTCAAAATGCAGGCAAGAATTCAGAGGCAAATAATAAGGAAAAAATAAATCATAGAACAGTTTGGGTTGGAAGGTACCTTTGAGTTCATCAAGTTACAACCATCCTTGTCCTGTGCAGGGACACTTTCCACCAGGCCAGGTTGGTCCCAGCTTCAACCAACACGGCCTTGGACACTTCTTAAGTATGGGACATCCACAGTTTCTGTGGCCAGCCTGTGCCAGGGCCTCACCATGCTCACAGTCAAGAATTTTTTCTTAATAGATAAGCTATATCTCCCCTCTTTCACTTTAAAGCCATTCCCCCTTGTCCTGTTTCTACACAACTTTGTAAAAAGTCCATCTCAGCTCTCTTTCATTCACTTAAAATACTGGAAGGTGCTATCAGGTTTCCCTGGAGCCTTCTCCAGGCTGAACAACCTAAATTTTCTCAGCTCATCTTCATAGGAATGGTGACCCAACCCCCTGATCATCCTTGTGGGCCTCCACAGTCCTATTTTGACATGCTGCTCTACTGACTTGTTCAGTTTGTGCTAGCTGTTTACAGGTTGTTCAATAGTTAGACAAAAGCATAAAATAAAGTTTTTTCTGTTCCCATGGAAAAAAACCATGGTGACATTTTTCTCCATAGAATTTTTAAAGTTTGTCTAAAGCAGGACTTCTTGACAATTTCTCAACAACCTGGGGCTAAACTCTGTTACAGCAATTTATTTGGGATCTGCTTAGCGGATATATTTTAAAAGGTCATATAATAGAATATATCTTTCTGGGGCCAGATAGAATTGTCCCCCCAGGCTAGCAATTGGAGAGCTCTAGCTGTACTAAAAAAAAGTGAAATAGAATGCAAATGCTGTGTTCTTACATGTTGAGTTTTTGGAAATGTTTTAGCAGCAAAGAAGGAATTTTCTTACTTTCAAAGTTAATAAAATCCCTTATTTTCCTTTAGGAAAAAGTAATTTATTTTTTATTTAAATTTATTTCCTCAACAAAAATGCCAGCTTCCATAGACTTAGCAAAACAATTGAAAGGCCTGATTTCCTCTAATCACTTTTACATTTTTACATTGCTTTAAATCTGAAGGTCAGGAGGGTGGGAAGTTTTGAAAAGCAACATAACCTACTTGTGATTGTTAGCTACTTGTGCTTCTGTTATTTCTATCCTTCTGGAGGTGGTGGATGTGGAAGCATAGGTAACATATTTGTCTGAGACCAGCAGTCACAGCAGGCACTCAGCTCTATGGAAAACTAGGAGAAATCCAGAGACAACTGGCACTTGACACCTGGGATCACAAACTGACTGGACCTGGATATTTGTGTCTCAGAAGCAGATATAAGGTGGCCAAGATGCACTAGCAATCTTTAATTCCTTCTTTTGGTTGTCTGTGTGCTTGAGTCATACTTCCAAAGGAACACCTCCCTTTTTCAGCTTTCAATATCCCAGTTACTTCTGGCGTTCATCCAACAAGCTGATGTTTAGTTTCTCCAAGAAAACTCAAGAAAAGTTTTGGCTAAGGGCCCTCAGCTCCTGCTTAACTCTCAGCCTCGATCTCACAGTACCTCAGAAGCAGCCCCAAATCCCTGCCTATGAATGGGGTGTGTGTTGTGTCCTCATGGGGCCTTGTAGCCATGAGCCTTTGAACTGAGTGGGATAAGGCTCACAGCTGTCCAGAAGGCTTCCATTTACTACTTTATGTGGAGAACCAGACCCAGAATTCCTCTAAACATAGATGACAATTTCACTGCCAAAGGTCCATTTCTAACCTGCGGATCTCCTTGGAGCATCAGTTTCAGTGTCACCTAGAGCTGTGCTGGTCTACTTAACTTGTTGTGAAATTTTTATGTGTGTGTGTATATATATATATATATATATATATGTGTGTGTATGTGTGTGTGTGTGTGTGTGTGTGTGTGTGTGTGTGTATAATTTGTATATAAAAAAGCAGGTGGGCTCTGGATTCATTGGGGCTAATTAATAGTTTCAAGTTCTAATTTGAATTTGCCAGCTGCCTCTGCACACCAGACTCTTTGTCCTTCATTCCTCTAGTGCTGGAAAGTGCAGCAACCTAGTGACTCCTGGTGATTGGGAGGGCTGTGTCCCTCTCATCAGGGGTCAGGGTCCCTTCAAACAAAAGGGAAAATAGCCTGTTCAGACCCTCTGTGGATGGGCAGGAGAAACTGTGCACAGAGAAAGGGCACAAAACTCTTGAAGTACTCTCTGACATGCACTGTGGGTAGCAAGGGATGAGGTAAGAGATTTGGGAGGTGAGCTGTTCAGGAGGAGAAAGGGGAAAGCAGCATGGAAAGAAAGCATAGTGTGGAGATTGAGAGTGGTTTTAAAATCAAATGAAAACTCCAGTGAGTCTTAACTCTGGAAGTTTGCCTGAGAGACAGAATCCAGATTAGCTGCAAGTAACAGGAAAGGAAAAGCAATAGTTTGTTCTGTTGCACTTCCCAGGGAGGGTCTGCAAGAGGTGCAGGATGGCAGAGAATCAAAAATTATAGATCCTAATGGTGGGCAGGTGGCTGTGAGAGATCTCCTGTCCACCAGGTGTGATGGGATTAAATGTGGCAGGGTCTCCATGCTGCCACACTGCCAAAAGGGACCCTTAGGAGCCTCAACTTTGCCAAAGGTGGTATCCCAGTGACAGCCCATACATACATCACTCCGTGGCTGTCAGCTGGCTGAGCCCTCCCACTCTGGCTGTAGCTCAGGGTATCCCTGCCTGGGGCTCACAGGCAGCTCCAGGCTGTGCTCTTTCTCTGCTCCAGCTGGTGGGGTGGAGCCAGCAGTGGGGCCAGAGGTACAGCTTTCAAACCCAGCCTCTTAGCCTGGTGTGTCAGCTGAGGCATGGGGTTACCTTGGCCCATCTGTATCTGCTGGGGTGCTGCCTCAGGTCCAGCAGGCCAGAACATGTCTGAATGTGATCTACCAAGCAGTCAGCATCCCCCAGAAGACCAGGCTCTCAGCAGATGCTCATCCCTTACCCCCTTGCAGTCTAATGCATCACAGCTGCAGGAAAGCAGCCCCCACAGCTCTGTCTTCCCTTCAACCCCAGGACCTGTTTATTCTCTGCCTTATGTACAGAAATTCCCCTTCTGCAACATGATCCCTCTGCTGTTCTCATAGTTTCACCTATGCCCAGCCCCCTCCATTTTGCTCCAGTTCTTTAATCTTTTCTGCACCCACCTCCCTTTGCAAGTGGGGTATTTTATGACCCCACCAGTGTCTGCAGCATCTTGCTACTGGTGCGATGCCAAACCTTGACCTCTAAGCAGCACACACAACTCTGAGCATGAGACAATCAGGAGAGAAAGAAGGAAGGGGGAAAGTATTGACAGGAGTAAATTGAGAGAAATCATACAGCTTAAGCAGAAAGAAAGCAGTTTGAAAGATAAAGTATTCAGAGAAAGCCCTTTCCTGGATGAATCTAATTGTTTTGTTATCTTTACCCACCAAAGCATTTACTTTGGTTTGTCGCCCGATCCACAAACACTTTCGAGGAGATGACATTACCGAAAGGCAGGAACATCTGCATCAGCTCAGCATCCCCAAACTCCTGGGGCAGATGGTAGATAAACAGGTTACAGCCCTCTGGTCCTATCAAGAGAAAAAGAAGACTAATGAATGAAGAGAAATAGGATACGAGAAATCACATGGTGGAGATTTACTTTAGCATCTTCTCTCTCTCTGACTGGTGAGCAGTTGCATTAGGAAGCAGCCTGTAGACTCTCAGAGGAATGGACAAATTAGAAGACCAGGAGCTCAAAAAGTCACCTAGAGGCTATGGAAAGTTCAGTAACTTTTCCAGGACACCAGGATAAAATCTAGGGAGAGAGGAATGCACCAGCACATGTGGCCATGGAAAGAACAGAACGAAGGAGTAAGAACACAGAGAATGAAAGAATATAGTTAATAGATTTTATTTGTTCCTCATAATCTTATTTAATCTGCAGAGGGATAACCCACACTATCCCTTGCCTCTTCCCAAAGTCTGCATGTAGAAGTTTTATTGTCCTTTTTGAATCTGTGTGATGACAATAACATCACACAAATGATGTTAATAAGCAGGAAGATATGCACAAACCCATAGGCTCATCTTGTTTTGTAGAATTTACTTTCATCCCCCCAGCTCAACTCAGCCTGAAGACTCCCTCAGATCTGGGCACTTAGGCCATGTCCTCCATTCTGCAGCATTCTGCAGGAGAGACTTTTTAGGTGGATTTAAATCCAAATTACTAGACAAGAGGGATTAGCTTTTTTGTTTCAATCTTGTAACATATACTCTTACTGATTTTGGAAGGTGTTTTGGAAAACATCCAGAGAGGTGTCTTTAGCTGGAATATGAAATTAAAGTAGAGACCCTCAAAAAATATTCTGTTGAAATTATATTTTGGGGCAGAAGAGGGCAAACCTGCCTCTTGTCGAATAGCCTAGAATATAAATTTTCAAACTTTTATTTTTATGTATGTTGTCCTTGAGCAACAGTCAAAAAGGTGTGTCCAATTTGTTTTGTTAAAAAAAGTTAAACATTTAAAAACTTTGCAGTGTTCAAGAGCAGAAAACTGTATAGTTTGATGAGACAGGGAATTTTTTTTCATCATTTTATTTCTAAAGATACTTCTAGCTGCTGCCCAGCTCTGCACTGACCTCGACAGGTAACTCCAGCTCTGCTTGACTCAGAGGGATTGAGATGAAGGGGATACACTCTGTGCCCTTTGCCAAAAGGGTTAGAGGTCTGAGAGAAGGAAGGGTTCCTCCTTCCCCCTAGCCCATGTGCCTACAACCCTGAGACCTGACTCAGTCAACTTTCCCCTTTTTATGTCTGGGGCACAGTGTGGGGAAGGAAAGGGATTTTTAATAATATCATTTTCTTCATCAGGGCATAATTACAGTGTCATAACACAGCAAATTACAACTTTGCCTTTTCTGTTAGGGAGAGGAGTTTGTCTAGATGCTCCCACCTTTTATTACCCATTACTCATCCCCCCGGCTGGCAAGAGAAGTACGGCGACATCAGGATTCTGGCAGATGCCCATTTAAAGCTCATTAAAATTCCTGGGCCTCAGCATGATTGAAGTCAGAGGCTCTCCACATTTCCTTTTGGATTAATGGAAAATGAAGCCCTAATGAATATTTGCTAAGCACAATTTTCCCCACTAATTTGCTAAAAGGACTGTCATGAAGGAACAGCTGATCCTTTACATCTTGTGCATTTCCTAAAGGTCATGAGGATGGTAACCAGGTTTCTTCCAAATGGGGGGGATAGTGGTATAGTGGGATAATTAACTAATTAGGCACCCGGTCATCTGCTTAGCCAAATTACTTTTGAACCTCAGTGGCCCATAATCAGGCTCTCCTATTTCATGCCAAGCTTTTCCAGTTTCCCCCCACATCCCTTCTGCCTCTTCTTTAGTCTTCTCATTGGGCAACTATCATTTTTCCAATCCTTGCTGCCATCCATTTCCACACAATACAGAGTTATTGGCATAATAAACTAGATATGAAACAGTCTGAAAGTGTTAAACAAACACTAACCCCCTTAGGTGTCTGTTAAAATTGAGAAAATTCTGCCCAGGAGCAGACCACAGCCCAGAATAACAGGGAAAAAATTCATTCCTCCATCTGAACGTGCCCTAGAGCACTTCTGCTGTGGGATTTGAGATCACATTATAATAAAATGAGTAAAATCTTGACTTTGCTGGAGTTGGTGGCAAAATTCCCACTGACATCACCAGAGCCAGCAGTTTGCACTGTAAAAGTAGCCAATTCTTTCAAAAATACCAGCTGCATTTCCTGCGGTCTTGGATGTGTTGTGCATGAGTAGGGATTCTGCCTGTGTGTGTACTGAAAAACACCTACCAAGGCATAAGGCAGGAGGCACACAACTTTAATTACATCACCTTTAGCCTGGGCTTAAGAAGAGCCCTTAGTTCACCTTGAAATCAACTTTTCCCCACATGACTCAGAGACCAAAAAGAAAAGACCAGGGATGGTATGAAAAAGCAGGGACCATTCTCAAAGACCAGCTTAGATCTAAAATGTGCCTGGGAAACCTGTGCTGTGGCTTCCCCTATTGACCCAGACATTCAAGGCTGAACTCACTTTGTTTCCAGCTACAGAGGGGTTTTTCCTAACTTCTATTGCTGAAAACTTCACTTGCTTCTCAGAAAAAAAACAAAACAAAACAAAACAAAACAAAAAAAAAAACCCCAAAAAAACAACAAAAAAAACCCAAAAAACAAAAAAAAAAACCCAAACCAAAAATTAGTAGTTTGATTTGTTTTGTGACCCTCACATATGAAATTTTTGCTTTTAGACTTTAACAAACAATTTTTTGTTAAATCTGTCTGTGAGCTACCTGTCACAGCCGGAGCCCTTGGTAAAGAACTCACAAAACAAGATCTGTCTTCTTTAGCCGTCCTAGCTTTTTTTGGATATGTTTTTGCCTGATTCAAGTCAATTTGGGCACTCCATAGAAGGCTGTGTGTCTGTGTGTATGGCTGTCTTGTTATACACTTAGGTATATTTTTAAGAAACCAAAGACAAGATCATACTATGAAGGTGGTGAGGGTCTGGAACAGGTTGTCCCATCCCTGAAGTGTTCAAGCCCAGGGAAGATGGAGCTCTGAGCAGCCTGATCTAGTGGAAAGTGTCCCTGCCCATGGCAGGTGGTTGGAACTAGAGGGTCTTAAATGTCCCTTCCAGCACAAACGATTTTATGATCCCATTTGTTTTTAATCTCAGAATGCTTTAAAGATCTCAGTCAGTTCTCAGTGCACAAATGCAATGAGTTCTGAGGTGCTTGCTCAGGATACTGGAACAACAGAAAAACCACAGCTGGTATGGAAAAATCTTAATAAAGAGTCCAACTTTCTTTTGGGAGAAAAAGTTCTTGTTTTGAACAGAGTTAACAGATTATCGGAGATCACTATACTTGGCAATTCAGGGCTGAAAACAATAATAAAATTATTTATGACAGGCTTTACTTTTGTTTTCAAAAGGGTTGTTGTGCAGCTTGAAATCTAACCCCCATGACACATAATCAGAAAAAATGAAGTTTCATTTCAACACTGATGTCTGCCATGGCTCTTGGTTTTATGACATGTATACATTTTATGACATATATATGTTTCTGTTCATTTATACACAAGAAGAACAGTTAGCTTTAATTCAGACAAAAAAGCAAGAAAAGCTTTAAGGACTGAACAGTTTATGGAGTCTATAGATTACAGGCAAACTGTTCTGCATAATGGAAGAACTGTGACTGAGGGCACAGAACCATATGGTGGGTTTGGCTTGGCTGGACCTGAGCTGAGCCATTGATAAACCATTGCTCTGCCCGTGCTCCTCACACTTGAGCTCATTGTCAGTTTTTTAGCACAGGGACAGCTGCAGACCCAGACTCTCCCTGCCTGTCCACCTTCAACATAAGTGAACTCCATATACCTGCTCTGATATCAGCTACCCATCATTGCATCCCAGAACTGGGAGAAAATGTCATGAGGAAAGGCTATGACAAGGCTTGTTTTCTAACAGTAATTAAAACTGGGCTAATCCACGAGGTTGTATGAAGGCAGGCTGCAGTACTTTGGTTAGCTGCACACCTCACCTCTACAGCAAACACTCAGAGGATGAAATTTCATTGCCTCTTCTGCTTGCCCACAATATTTGAGCACAGCACAGATAAGAGTTGCAAACTTGTACCAAGAAGTTGTAGTTTCAGAAACTACATCAAGATGAGTAATGCAGACTTAAAATTACCTCCAAGTTTTGTGAGGTTGACATGGCCTGAATCAAGATTTTATCTTAAGCTTTGATAGTTTTGGATCAGTTCCACCCTATACACCCTGTCAGCTGCCGGCAGCCTCAGTGCTCATGTGGAAGTAATGACTCATACCTACAGGAATGTTGCAGCAGCAAAACATCCCCAGGCTTGTTATCCAACTGGGATTCAGTTTAAGAGCTAAGATTGTCATTAGCAATGTGATCACTGGTGTTATTGTGGTGGTAGGTCTGGTTCACTAATGAATCAATGTTTGTGCACATCCTTGCAAACCAAAACACTCTTCTCAGTGCTGAGCATTTTTGTTATTATTGAGTTCACTCTCACTGTGTTTTCCTGTTAAAGGTTAGAGATTCTTAAAGGTCTTGACCCTCTGCTAAAGGGGAGTGTTGTGCTTTAGCAAGAAGCAGAGAAAAGACACAGCCTCTCAGCACCTCAGGAAAATAAGGAACACTGGGATGGCAACCTGCATTGGATTGGTGGCTCATATCATATGACTGTCCCCCAGCCATCCTCATTCTCAATGCCAGCTGCTTATAGGAAGGAGCAGAGTTATGAGATAACTTGTCCACTGGGTGACACTCACTTCTAACCCACACCATGGCTTGTGAACACAGGGTCTACAGGCAGAGGGTCTTCAAAGCACACACCACAGCTTCCTCTTGCTTCTGGTGGTTCCTGGCACGGCGCTTTGCTGAACAATGATGTGCTCACCATTTTGTCCTGTGCTTAATCTAGCCCCAGTAAGCAATAAAAAGCAAAGTCCTTCAGCATGGGGGAAACATCTCTGTAATGATATGATAGGTCTGTGCATCTGTTCTCACAGCAGGGACATGTACTAGAGCTAATCAGGAGCTGGAAGTTGTGTTCCCCAGGAAATTCTGACATAGGAAAAAATTAATTCCAAATTAGATGGAAATGACGACATTTCTAATTTTCTTACAAAATGAGATTTCTCCCCCAAAGTAGTTTTAGATCATCAGAATGTTTTAGTCTGATGGTGTAATCTAGATCCATTTCACTGTGACTCTTGCACTGTATTAAAATATTAAATGTAATTACATACATATAATAACACATATAATAGAGAATATGTCTGAATTAGTGATCTAATAGAGGATAAAATTTAAAATGTAACTATTTAAAATGAGAGTTGCTAAGCTGGAGCACCTGACTTTAATGTATCACTCAGGCAAGCATACACGTCCTTCTCATCGAAAGGGAGCAGTCCTATTTGGAGCCACCCAAATGGATTGCCTCTGAGGATTCCATCGCTCCTCACTGACTGTAAAGGAAATATTACATGGCACAGTTTTCTCCCAAGGCATTTACATGCAAAAATGGTAAATTCACCTCTCCTTACTCTTCATGTCTTCTGTGAAGCCATCCAGTCCTGTGGAGTAGATTACGCAGGCAACTCTTATAGTCATTGCAAAGAAATAGGAACTTTAACTACAAGTTTTTTCTCATCCTGATATAGGGATTGTGCTCTGCAAGGTCTGACTGATGTTTCAGATTATTGGTGGAGGCTGAAAGGCTGAAAGGACAGATCAGCTACTCTAAAAAACAAGTCCTTGTTCTCCAAAAGGAGGTGTCTGAAATGACATTACTGTCTTTTCATGAAGGGCCACTAGTTCTTTGTTTCCTGTAAAGCTCTTTATTCCAATACAGTTGCATTTTAATCTGTATTCTTGCTGCTTGTCTTGAACAGAAGTTCCCACTGGATGTTTATGGCTATGCTGCTAGCTGGTCTTTCCATGTCCCATGCACACCAGCATGCTTTCTTCCCAGGGGACTGAAGAGATCTCATCAGCAGTTCCCCACATGGATGGTCTACCAGAGTACCACTAGTGACAGTGACACCATGCCACAGATGGAAATGAAGGAAAACTCACTGGACCAGGCATTCAAAGCAATTGGGTGTTTAATGGATGCTCTAGGTGCATGAGGAGGGGAACCAATGAGATGGGGATGGCTTGCTGGGGTCACAAAGGAGGACATCACTTTTACTTACCTTCTCTCTGTTGCTGTGGGATCATGGGAGGTGGCTGTGGGAACGCTTGGCTAATCTGGCCATAAGCAGCAGGATAAGCAGCTAAAGGGGAGAGAAAGAGAAAAAAGAAAGGACAGATTTCAGTGCTGGGAAGCAAGGAGCTTTCACTCCAAACCACCACACCAAGCTAGACGTGGGCTTTGCCTCTGTGTTTTGGCGTTGTGAAGGGCCACCTCGTGCAGCCTGAGATGTGGTGTAAGAGCCATGGCTGTGCTCCAGGAGGTGCCATAGAGCCCGAAACATCCTCTCTCCCTCCCTCCCTCCAGCTCCATCAGTAGTGAGACCCAGGGCACCCATGCAGTGTAAACAGTCTCTGCTGAGACCACTCCCAGCAGAGATGTGCAGCCATTCAATGTGGTGACAGGAACACGTTCACTCACGAGCTCAGTGCAGAGGTACCTATGCTGACAGCCGTGCACAGAGCACATGTACAACTTTCCCCCACCTCATCTTGGGCACCCTGATAAACTCCCATGCTCATGAAAATGGTTCACACATGTGTTTTCCCCTTCATGTGCCCACAGGCTCTATAGACACAGTTGCGCATACACTCTCGGATATACATTTTCTTTCATGCCCGTAGAGACTTCCTCTCTCACACACAAACACAGTGGAAACAGTGAGCAGCAATTAAACAATTTCCCCATCTCAGCTCCCCCACCAAGCAAACAAGGGGAGCCATTCACTACCACAGATGGTAGATGATGTGCCTTGCTGCAAGACCAGAGAGAAGAGGATAGGGGCCATGTGTGTGCAGAGGGGTTAATTAACAGCTCAAAGGGTTGAGTTGCTTCCCATCTATCAAACCTCACAAGCAATAAATGACAATAACTAAAACACCAGCAAATGAAGCCCTACATGGAGAATTAAATTCAGTTTCTAGATACAGCACTGACACGAGATAATAGCCATTCCTCAGCAGGAACCCATGATTGCTTCAGTTACCACAGGAAACAATGACTTTGGGGTGGCAGCTTCCTCGCAACGTTGGCCATAGACACCTCATGAGGGGAGGCTGAACATGGCAGGGTCATGGACTGCACCAGGTCACTTTGGCTGGTGTCAGCCCATCAACTGCAAAGGAGCTGCTCAGCACACAGGGCAGCTTGAGCGGAGGCTGAACCACGGGGAGCTGTGGTGAAATCTGCTGGGAAGTGGGGGGATGTCTGGGTAGCTCTTAAGCAAGGCTCAGACCTTAGTCAATGAGGCATGAGCAGTAGACACACCCTAAAAAAATGCGTGTGTGCAGGCATTCCATGTTCTGCCAGGCACTAGCAGCAGTGGCTCTGCAGGGTCTGGCTGCCCATCTTCCCTCTTTGCTACAGCACTCAGGAGACCTGTTTTAGAAAGCCACCTCCAAAGCAGTGGCTCGATTTTGCCCTTGTGCACTGTGGACCAGACTCAGTTCTATTGATGAAGCTTCACCGGGGTGCAGGTCAGTGGGAGCCTTTCCACGGGAAAGGTAGGAGGTTGCATCCTTTGGGAGAGAACACCCTGGATGTCTTGATATTTGTGCAAATTGAATCAGGGAGTCTGTGGCCCCCCCCAGCTTGTCCCTGTACCAGTAAAACTTCCTTTCGCTCAGCCCCCTGGGGTGTAATCAGAGGGTAATGGCTTTAGACAAGGAAAAGGTTTATTGGGAGAAAGTGTTAATACTAACGACCTGCGTACTGCTGCACTCCAGCGTAGGCTTGCTGCAAGGGGTCTGCTGCAGTGGGGCTCTGTGCTGTGGAGACACAAGAGAGACAAGGAATTAAGGGGTTAAAACATGATAGGCACTATCCCCTTATCTTTTATCATCAATATGTATTATGAAACAGACAGACCCAGGGGCTGAGGGTTGAAGAGGAGAAGCTCACTTGCTCTGTGGACAGGAATGCAGAGAACCCCCCAGGATGGCTAAGAGGGTTCTGTCTCCCAGCCATCACCCTGTGAGACATTGGAGCAGAGGACAAATAAACCTCTCTCCTCATTTCCCAAGCTTGAATTATGGATCTTCACTGATCATGCAGATATTTTGGCACTAATAAACCCCAAAGAACCCTCATCTTAAGCCAGGACTAGCACTGTGCTAGGTGCTGTGCAAACTCAGATCTCAGTGACAGCTACAGTCACATGAAACTTTCAATCAGAGCAGAAAACAACAGGGGCATAGCAGGAGGAAGGAGAAGAGAACAAAGCAATGGCTCCTGTCATCCCCACATCCCTTCGAAGGACTGTGTTGCTGCCAGGCAGCCCCCAGTGAGAGAGAAGAAGCTGCATGGAGGGGAGGGGGACACCACTTGTCTGCTCCAGGGAGGATGCTGTGAATCTCTGCATAAGGCATGCAGTCTCTTGCTGGCTTCAAAGTGTATTTTCTCTCTTTACAAGTGTGCATTCCTCCCCACTAAAACTGTTTATTTTTGTGAAACTTTGAAGTCTTGCTCAAAAACAACCAAAGCTAGTTAAGAATATTTTTTCTTTTTTTCCTTTGGTTGATAGGGAAAAAAAAAAAAAAAAAGAGAGAAATGTGTTGGATAAGCTCATTCTTTATCTGCATCAATAAAAAAATTAAAACAAAGCTTGGCCAAACCTCCAGTCCAAATGTCACCTTGGCCCTAATATTTCACTCTTATAATGAGTTTAATTTGTATTTATTGGGACTGCACAGTTCTACATTTATTCAGTCTGTCCAACCTATTCCTTGTAGGATGATCCCTTAGGGAACTGCCACTTTCCCACATCCATCCCACCTTTTTTCCTTCTTACCCGCACAGAGGTGTGGCTGGAGGCAAGGCTTGGAGGATGCAAAGGTGGGGGCCTCTTGGAAGGAAATCTGGTGCCATACACCTATCCAAGGAAAGACACTGACTGTATGGCAAAGTGTGGGGGAGGTTGTCATACGTGAGTATCACATACCCAAGGAACACGGATAAAGTGTTTTCTTACAAATAGAAATACCAGCTTGAAACTTCACTTTAAAGATCACCATTGGTCATGATGGAAGCTTGCAAGGTCTTGTACTTTTCTCCCAAAATACAAGGAGGAATGGTGAAAAGACCAAATTTGAGGTGGCAAACCCAATTAGCTAGCTAAGGCTTGGAAGCTCCTGTTCATTATGGATATGACTGGATCATGTGAACTTTGAGGCTGGGGTAGTCATAGGAAGAAATAAAGGGATTGCAGTCTTAGCTTGAAATGGTTTCCTAGCTGACTTTTGTCAAGTCCCTCAATATATGTGTATGTAAAATGGGAAAGCACTGTCTTACTGTAAGGATTTTCATTTTTCACAAAACAGTGTGAGGAGAATACATTAAAACCTGTGGGAGGTCAGTGGCAGGCAGACTAGAGATTCTACACTACATTTTTAAAGAGTAGTTGTTCCAGGAAAATAATGGAGGTAATGTTTGGAAAATACAATTTTTTTTTACTTACTACTTTCTTCTTGAAGAAGAAACCAAGCTCTAAAATAGTTTTAACCTCTCCTTAAAACTGTTTTCCTCAAAAATCAGAATAAAGATCATATTGCTCCACTAGAAACCTGAAAAGCTATGAAAAGTTGAGTAATACATCAGTTCCCTCACCCCTTTAGGAGAATGGATCATAATAACTTAGACCTTTCAAATCCTGTCAGGTGTCCTGAGAAAGGTGAGGGAACCTTTGGTGAGAGAAGCAAATCTTTTTTAACTATGATTCTGTGGACTGCAGTGAAGGAGAGGATCTGCCATCTCTGCCCCAAAGGCAACAGTGCTTCTTTCATTGCAAGGAGGAAGAAATTGTCTCTGATGATCAGGAAATGCATTTACAGTATTTCCTTCCTCCTGAGATGAGGCTGATTTGGACTCATTTGTTCTCCTCCCTGACCTGCTGATAATTCGCAATGGCTGGCATTTCACTGATACAAGAGAACTCACTAAGACGGACCTGTCCTCTGGTCCTTTTCTTTATTCCTTGCCCTGTCTGGGCACGTGTGGGAGCTTCCTGACCTCCCAGTTATAGCTGAGTTTATCACCTGGACATGATCATCTGGCTCACTGCTAATAAGAGCTGCTCTGCTTATTCTGTGGATATCTCACCTGCCTTTGGAACCATACTTTGACTATCAGAACTAGGGTTTTCTGCTTTAGAAATATATGATGAGAACCCCCCACCTTTAAGATTAAATATTAGAGCTGGGTAAATAATTTATTTAAAGTGTTTGGGATAACAAGCCATGAAATTCAGCCTTTCTGCCTTCCACACTAAAGCTTTCAGAGTTTATTATTTTCCCAAGTATTTATGACTTGCCACCACAGATAATATCTAAGTGTTTAGGGTAATATCTGAGTGTATAGGGTAATATCTGAGTGTTTCTCACAAGGCTGCTTTGTGACCCAGGTCATGCACTGGGTTTCCTCTTGGCTCACAGCACATGCAAGCCAGTTGGAAGGTTACAGTTAGGTTTGCTCCAACCTGGAAATCCCTTTCTCATAGGAAAAGAATATGCTAACTCTCTGTTATAACACACAGGGCCCTAACTGACCTGACCATCGCTGGACACTCTTGGAAGGAGAGTTGAAAGCATCTCTGGGCAGGCAGCAACTCCTGGCTTGTGGCTCTGTATTACTAGTAGTTTCATATCTTTCCTTGGCCATTTGGGAAAAGCCAAAGTTGTGGTGAGTCACAACCAGCAGGAATTTTACTTGGCACCTCTTAAAAGTGATGACCTCTGTTCACTGAAGGACTTGCCTTCCTTAGCTTGAAGACTGTTTACTCAGCAAATGAAGATGTGACTTTAGCATAGTGGACATGTCCATGCTGGCCAACATGGCCTACGAAGAGGCAGGGACACAGACTCCAGGGCTGGCTGGACACTCTTGCAGGAAGCCAAGGCATCTTGGGCAGCCATGAGCACATCTTCATGCTGCTGCTTACCCTGCTAGATTTATCCTGATACTAGGATGAATCAGACCTAACGGAGAGCATAACTGCCTGTGCTCCTGGCTGTAGCATGGATGAAGCCAACAGCTGGTATTGATCCAGAATCTCAAGACACAGATTAGACATTTGAGGAAGTTGTGGCCATGCTGTGTTCTGTAAAGTGACAGCCCTCTTACATATTAATGACCTATGAGGAGTTTATCAAGGGCTCAGTTATATGAGATGCTCACAATTCAGTCAACCTACCACAGGGGTTAGGTGTGGCTGTAGCCCATTACTTGCTAAAATTCAAAGTGATTGGAAGTTATGAGTATTTTCTGTATCTCAGCACAAGGAGACCATCAGGTAGGGTTGCTTTGCTCCTCTGTAAGGTACATGTAACTTCACAGGGTGGCCTTCACATAGATCATTAGTGGGAGAGCTAGCCTGCCTCAGTCACCCTTTCTCCCCATCTGGCTTACCAGTCTTCTTTGATACTGAAAATATTAGTTGTACACAAACATACAGGGCTGGAAAAACACCTTGGCTCGTCTATGTGCTTGCTGTGCCAGGGTGCAGGCCCACAGTGGCACACAAGGTAAGTAGGTGTATAAGGGCTGATAAGATATATAGATGAGAAACATGGATATCATAGAGCACCTTATAGCAGCTTTCGGACCAGCACCAGTATGTCTCTAAGTTGTATCATCATTCAAAGACCTTGGATATGCTGACTCTGTGCAAATGTGCCTAGGGAGAACATCTGAAACAGATTTCCTTGTGTTCAGACCTATGGAGGTGTCATGTCCAACATAAAGACATTTCCGAGATTAAAGGTGTTGTAATGTAAATGTTGAGGATCTGCTGGTGGAGGGGAGAAAAAGCAGAGAGGCTCCTGAGAGGCCAGAGGAGAACTATCAATCACATCAGCCCCACTGAAATCTCTGTGGCCTTGCTGCTTTCCAGGAGCTGAGGATCTGGCCTTGCCAGGGCAAACTAAAGGTGTACCATGAAAACAGATGCTAATAGTAACTTCATTTAGCAGCTCAGGGCAAGAGCCTTATCCCTGGACATCTCCTCTATATTAATTTGATAATTTCCATATCTCCAAGGGAAAAATGCTGCTCAGATACAATTGTCTCTTTGCAAGACAGTCCTGGCCAAGATGCCACAAGGTGACCATGGCAGATAACCTTCCATAAACCCGGAGACATAAAACAAGCCAATGACCTACTATATGGCCATAAATATAAATTTAATGAAGGCAGCACTTATTCATTAGGCAGAAGTCAAGAAATAACTCCCAAGTCCTTCAAAGAAAGTAGTCCGTTAATGTCACTTTCCAAATCCTCTGCCTGATGCCAAAAACTGAGGATGATTTCCCAAGTCAGCATGAAATACAAGTGCTTTAAAATTAACACCAGGAAACTTTCTTACTCCTGATAAATCTCTAGATTGAAATCCAACTTTTTAAAGGGGCTTTCAGTTAGTGTTGGGCCTGACATTTAGCTTTTGTCAGAGAATGATTGGATGGATGTGGCAGAATGAAGCATATTGTTAAAAATAAATAAAATTGGTTGAAATTGAAATTCTATAAAGAATCCTTCCTGAGGCATCAGTACCCTGACTCCAGTGTCTATCCAAGACAAGCTGCTATATGGGTGCCCCAAGTGAAACTGGTTGTAGGAGATAGAGGGCTGGAGTCTTCTGTGGTATTCAGGGGTGTAAATCAGGAGGATCTGCATAGAAGCGAGTGGGCTGGTGAGGAAAAAGGATGATGGTTACAGCCTGAGCCAGCAAAAGAGGCCTTCAAATGTTCTCAGTGGACTATGGGACAGCCTCCTTGTCCCAGCTCAGGTAAGAGAAAGCCAAAGTGGTCTGCTCTCTGAAACCAGAGGAGCCCGGTGCTTCTGAAAGACAAAGGCAAAGCCTGGAACATTTTCAGCCCCTAAGATGTTTTGTGATTTCAGTTTAGTGGAAGGAGTGATCTTACTCCTATGTGATATTCTCTCCACTCCTTGCTTCAGAATATCTGTGCATTCCTGACATGCTCAATTCCATATATTTCACTCTATTTTGCATAGATGCTTCCTATTTAGGTCTGAAACATTATGAGCTGGATCCTCAGTTTTGTGCTCTGCCCCACCTATTCATTCCTCTCATTGTCCTCGAGGTATTCTACACCTCTCACAGGAGCTGCAGCTTGGCCACAATCCCCTTTGGGAAGGTGGATGGGGGAGGAGGGAAATCAAAGGGAGGCAGTGCTCTTCAGTCAGTGTGTGTGGGGGGGTAATAACATAATGATAGGAAAAAAAAAATCTATGTGAAGGCCAGGATTAAAATAAATAAATAACTGAGTGGGAGGGCTCTATTCACCTTCTCCTTAAATCCAATTTAAATCACTCTCTACAGCCCTAATCTATATCCATAATTACATCATTTCATACAACAAGCTTGCGAGAGGTCTTAAGAAATTTATGTAGATTAAAATTCATGGGTGCCGTAGTACAGATTCCATATTATTAAGATTGATTAGGACAGCTGATGCTGTGATTAAAGAAGCTAGCGCTTACTGTTGTAATTAATTAGGTATTCAGACACAACAATAACTGCAATAACAGAAAGAATGTGCTGATCTGGCAGAAAACAGAGGCTGATCCTGTGTTTTATAGTCTCGTTTTGCCATTTAGGTGTGGACACCACTCATTTAAAGACATGCTGTCTCTCTGTTTCTTCTCTTACACATCAAAAGAGCAAAGAAATCCAGGGGTTTTGTACCCTCTGCTTCACCCTGTTAGTAGGAAAAGGTCCTTTTGGTAGCATCCCCAGCTATTGTATGTGCTCACTTGGGACAACATATAAACCTTCTATAAAATTCATATAGTTCTATAATGGAAACCAGGATTATCTATATTATTTTCTTAGTAGTCCCACCTCCAAGTCCCAGCCCT